ACCACTGTGCTGGGGATGAGGGTGGGTGGGGGGGGGGGGGGGGGGAGAGGTCGGGTCAAGCAGTTTTGAAACTAAGGGCATTATACTTGCAATAATCAGGATTTGCAGCCGTAACAGTCATGAGAACAAAACAGTCATGAGAACAAAACAGTCATGAGAACAAAACAGTCATGAGAACAAAACAGTCATGAGAACAAAACAGTCATGAGAACAAAACAGTCATGAGAACAAAACAGTCATGAGAACAAAACAGTCATGAGAACAAAACAGTCATGAGAACAAAACAGTCATGAGAACAAAACAGTCATGAGAACAAAACAGTCATGAGAACAAAACAGTCATGAGAACAAAACAGTCATGAGAACAAAACAGTCATGAGAACAAAACAGTCATGAGAACAAAACAGTCACAAAACAGTCATGAGAACAAAACAGTCATGAGAACAAAACAGTCATGAGAACAAAACAGTCATGAGAACAAAACAGTCATGAGAACAAAACAGTCATGAGAACAAAACAGTCATGAGAACAAAACAGTCATGAGAACAAAACAGTCATGAGAACAAAACAGTCATGAGAACAAAACAGTCATGAGAACAAAACAGTCATGAGAACAAAACAGTCATGAGAACAAAACAGTCATGAGAACAAAACAGTCATGAGAACAAAACAGTCATGAGAACAAAACAGTCATGAGAACAAAACAGTCATGAGAACAAAACAGTCATGAGAACAAAACAGTCATGAGAACAAAACAGTCATGAGAATAAAACAGTCATGAGAACAAAACAGCGATACCAGCTCGTTGTGGAGTATGGTCTTCGTTCTGCCTTGCCCAACATCAGACCAAAAACAGCAGATATGACTAAGACACAATAGAGTCCACCATTGCATGGATATATGGACACTAAATTATGAATTATGGGGGATTGCCTCTTTATTTGTTAGTTTTTGACTCTTTGAATTATGTTTGTCTTTTTCTCGAAGTTATTATTAATAGTACATTGGATTTTTCTGTTGTCCTCCTCTTTTTAATTACATTTTGTTATGATGGGCACTAAGAGAGTGGTAAAAGGAAGGAGGGGGGGGGGGGGCGTGTCATATACTCTAGGGCAGCGGTTCTCAGTCTGTGGGTCACGACCCTTTTGGGGGGTCAACGACCCTTTCACGGAGGTCGCCTAAGACCATCGGAAAACACATTGTCCCTGAAGTTATAAAGAAGTAATGAGAATAATGTTATGATTGGGTGTCACCACAACACGAGGAACTGTATTAAAGGGTCACGACACTAGGAAGGTTGAAAACCATTGCATTTTAGCGGAATGCCACCTGAAAACAGGTTGGAGAGCACTGTTTCAGATTATCGTCTTGGGTAATGATTAGTATATTACTAATTTTCTTGTTTAAAGTGCCGTCTCCACAATGAAGACTGGTACACTACACCCACTGCTGTCTTTGGCACTATTACAGTATGAGGCTCCAGTCTCTTCCTTTGTGCGACTCTCGTATGGTAGTTAAAAAATATGGAAAGATATAAAACCGAACGAAAAGTACACTAGCGAGCTTCAAAATATAACAATCACAAACGAAACGTGAACGTTGCGGCTTTAAAGCAACATAAATAAATCAAACAAAACTACACGAATACACAAAATTACGTAACTGGATATCCCAAAGCAGCCACGTTGATGCCTTGCCAGTGGAAAGAGGAGACGCGCTTGGGACTAAGGAATAAATAGTCGAGGAATACCAGGGACCGTAAGTCGAAATTTTAGATGAAACTGCGTTTGCAGTTGAGTCCCTAGGTATAAGTGTGCTCAAAGTGAAAAAAAGCAATTTTCAAAAGACTTGCGGACTAAATGTAAAATGTAATATTTTTCTTTTTTTTTTTAGTTTAAAAACCATGATAACATTTTATTTTTTAATGTTTTTATGTGGTTTTTTTTGTTTTTGTTTTTTTTTTTTTTTTTTTTTTTTTTTTTATAGTGACTGCTTAACCAACAATCAAAGAGTAACAGCTTTGTATTATGTTGCAGTCGAGGCGCCACATTCATGGCATCTAGATCTATGTATTGTAGGTCATCCAATTCTAGAAATGCGTGATGGCGTTTTGAGTAATACACTGTGTAATGCTTCATTACCATGTCCTGGAAGCGGACTGGCTTACTGCAATGACGAATTGTGGGGCGTTTTAGGAGCCTGTTGCAGATCCAATCCAGGTATTTGTTCACCACGTTTTTATGTGTACTGACGCTTTTAGTCTGATTTCGACAATTTTATAATCGTCAACCGTTGAGGGGGAATGGGAGCTATATAAACTTGACTGATAAAACCATAAACAGCCAGCAGATGCTAGGTTTGGTTTGCAAGGTTCAATAGAAGATATTCAACTGACTTATCTATATATATATATATATATATATATATATATATATATATATATATATATATATATATATATATATATATATATATATATATTATTGTTGCATATCCTTTACATGACGTTGCAGAACCAACCCCAACAGCCCCTGGCTGTCGTGTGGTTTTTTCTAGGCAAATTTACGTCCAGTAGTTTGTCATGGCTTTCTGGACGATCGGCTTTTTTGATACCACTGTCGAAACCAACGCAAAGCACATGGCCCGCAGCTGGGATCGAACCCGGCATCCCGCCATTACAAAGCGTTCGCACCGACTTAGCCACAGAGAAACATGACTATAGTCGGTTATAAAAGTTGTGCCCTCAGATTTTAAACATTTCATGAAAACTCCTGTACAGATCAACACGAACTGTTGCCGGTTGTCTTAGATTTGCAATGTCCTTTTGATTTCATAAATTACAATTCCAGAGGTTCTGCTGTTTATTACCGTAGCGAATTTCTTTGATTTTTGTCGGACTGATAATTTACGTACCCCTAAAAAGAACAATAAATATTAATTGTCAGTCAACGAACATTATGGCCGTAGATGACATATCCACCTTGCTATTCAAAACAAGCGCGCCTTAGTTTTTCGCACAGATTACCCATAAAACGTGTGCAGTTTGATATGTTGCCAAGTTCGCCTAAAGTCAATAATTATAAATACGCTAATTATATGCCTTTAATAAGTTGTTTTTTTTTTTTTTTAATTTAAAAAAAAATTTTAAACAGAAATAAGGCAAATTAAAAAGTAGATGTTACCATTATAGTTTTTCTTTTCTACAAGGAAATCATTATTTACGGGTTGGATGCAAAATTGTAACAATGTACACTGAAATATTGCTCAAATATAGCACAACTTTAGAAACGGACTATACCAAGGCGACAGAGTATCGACAGTGGAAGATCACCTGTGTCAGAATTTATTTAAAGTACGTGAGAGAGAAGGTTGGGGATAACTATGAGATCAAGGCTACACGGCATGAACTATAAGAAGAAGTAAGAATATTTTGGCTAAAGAATGTGGTTCTTAAAAAAGATGATCTTGTACATTATGCGGCATAAACAAAAACGCTACCAGAACTGAGACAATGAGAATAGGTAGGGAACATAAGAGCGTGAAGGTCCCTTCCAATAGTACTAGGGTCAAACGTGTAGTGAATTTAAGTACTTGAGAAGCATGTTTCCGGAAAATGGCAGGCTAGAAAAAGAGATAAAAGCTAGAGTTCAGAAGTAAATATTGTTACAAACCAGCTAGAGCCACTGTTGGACACCTAAATGTGTCTCTTCCAGCAAACTAGCTTAGTGTTAATTAAATCTTCCTCTCAGTTTATTCTGTAAGTGCTAAACAGGGACAATAAGTGAAACGTTGGTGCTAAAAAGTAACTAACTACCTGTGAAATGATCTGTCTCCAAAAGTCCCCAACAACTCAGTAAGGGACAAGTTCACGAATACCAGCATTAGAGAGATTTTTACAACAAGACTATGACTGGATTACATCTGAAGTCATTGAATGACGTGATTTGGCTATCTAGTCAGATTGCAGCCAAACCATCATCATGTAGCAAGCAGGTCCTTTGCAGAACGTCGCTCTCATCACTGTCTGGCTAAAGGTAACTAGGTCTCTCGCCAGCTCTCCTGCCTCATGTACTTTCATACTCAAGGAGTCACTTATATCCTGTGCCCATCTTCGTGTTTGTTGACCCCCGCAGTTTCATCCTAATGCCATGATTTCTGCTATTATTTCTTTTCCGAGACAAGTTGCTTTTTATGAGCCAGTCTTTCTTGATGTTCAGATCTTTTTAAAATGCAGCCAGATCAAGTTGGATTTTAGTTGAGTTCAGTTAAGGACCGACATCGCAACACTTAGGACACTTCCATAGGTGCTCGCTCTCCACCTTCAGCAGCCAGTGAAAGATTACTGTTTAGATGTTCTCAGTAGCAGCTGAACTATACGTCCATTGCTTTCCTCTAAATGAAACACACACACACACACACACACACACACACACACACACACACACACACACACAATGTTAGTCTTCCTACTGTAGAATATCTTAAGTGAACAGGAAATGAAGTCAAAAGAATATCGATCGTCGATGTAGCTGATTCTAGCAACAACAACTCAGGGAAAAAAAAGGAAAAAAAAAAGATGACAAAACTCTAGCCACTCGAGAAAACGATGACTTCGAGCTAAAATCCGATTAAATGTATGACGACAAAGGAAGAGTCATCATTGTATGCCAATGGTTGATCATACTACTTCAAAGGTATGAGTCGTTATCCCCTTATTTCTGTCTGCACATTCCGGTGAAGACTGTGAAATGTGGGTAACATATGTTCGCCCAGTTCAGGTAGAAAAGCAGTTGATAACAAATTATTTTCATTATACTTTTTTTTTTAAATCTATGCTTATGGCGTATTCCTTTATTTATATATATATTATCCCATAAACGGAGCAGTTGAAAGTTGGATTGTAGAGGCTTGTGTTTGAGTCCCAGTTAAAGTGATGGCATATTTTATGTCGGGAACAAAATTTAATTACCAGTTAGCACAAATTATGGCGACTGGACTAGTCTTTGGCCTTAAATATTAAAGGTCTACATCTTCTTAAAAAAGGGGGAGCTGCCGTGGAGTAGCGGCCACGGTCTGCGGATCTGAAGTTATGGGTTCAAACCCGAACGATGCCGGGCATTTTTTAAAGCTGACTTTGACTCCCAGATCGACGCAGGCCTGAATAGGTACAGTGTAAAGTCCTGGGAAGTAAAGGCTACTACATTAACCACCGGGTACCGATAGATCTATGTGATATTGGTCTTAGCCTATTTGCCCAGTACGCCTGAAGATATGAAAGGGGATACTTTTACTTAACCTCCTTAAAACGTAGTAAATATAGGCATTTAAACAATGGTTTTATATATATATATATATATATATATATATATATATATATATATATATATATATATATATATATATATATATATATATTTATATATACATATTTTTTTAACTTGAAAAGACAGTCCTGTAAAACCCGGACAGTGCCTGACCGACTTTAGCGACCACGGATTCTATTGTATCGATGCCTGCAACAACGATGGTGACTGCCGGGATACGTGGAAATGTTGCCAGTATGGTTGCAAACGAATATGTCGGCCCCCACAAGTGGAATACACTTGCCCTTCGCTGGTACGTGTTGTTCTGGTATTTGTTTCATATTTGTTTCATTTATAATTGAGAATGTCGGGGAAATCTGATATATTTCATATAAAACATACTGACAGTTGCTATACTTCCTGCCCCTCCCTCCCCCTTTTTTAAAATTTATTTCGACACACACACACACACACACACACCCACACACACACACACACGCACGAAGTGTGTCACAAAGGTAATCAGAAAAGATGCTACTAAAGAGTAACGTCTAGCTACTACCACAGCAATAATGTAGTACTTTTATATCAGTGTTCCTCAACATTTTTACATCCGCGGCCCATCAAAACAGAGTATTTTTTTTAGCAGCCCACCTAACAGCTAAATAAACGCCAAACAAAAACACATGTAGACTGCTGTTTTTTTTTTTTTTTTTCTTAGTTACACTTGATGTAACAAGATTACAATTTTCTGATAATGCTACAATTTAGAGGTTAAATAATATGTGGAGCGTTGTTTCCGATAGACAACGCGCTACAGTAACATCCATTCCAGTTATCTATTTGGTGTTCATCACTGACATACGTGAGACAGTCTTTACGCAAACATAAGAGATCCTTAGGTGTTAATCATACAGAATGGAAGAACGAAACTATCCACACTACCCCGTTACATGATTAGACATAATCTTTTGGGAGCCAACCCAGACTTTTCAGGAGCTTCGGCCCAAGGGTGAAGAACACTGCCTTATGTAACAAACATTAGGGTTTCGGCGACTTCCGTTCAGTGGTCTGAGAGGAAATCATTGATATTTCAGGAAACTTAAAATGGAGGAAGCCAAAGAACAACTCGTTAATCAATAAACATGGAGGCTGTTCAAAACGCTTTAGAATGAGGATTAAACATCATTAAACATCTATGGTTAAGCACAAGCAAGGAAATCAAAATGAAAATTTTGAGGGTATGGATTTTTACTGTAACAACACAAGGATGTGAGTCGTAGACTACTTGGAGATGTATGTTTTAAACTGGCAGCCGCCGTGGTTTAGCGGCTAGACGCTCGCCTGCGGATCGGAAGGTAGTTGGTTCGGTTCCTGATAGGGCTTGACATTTTACAAAAATGACCTGGGCTCCCAGGTCGACCCAGCCTTGAGTGTGTACCAGGTACAGTCTAAGGAAGACCGGCGACCGGCGTGATGCTGACCACATCACCCACCACGTGCCGTTTAGTCTATAAAATAAAGGTCTAGCCCTAGATACCCAGTGCGCCTGACGGCAGGAAAAGGGTCCTTTATTTCTACTTTACTTATGTTTGTGTGATCCATGGGCCGGCCATTTTCAATTAATGCAGTACCTGCCAGTCTATCAGCTCTCTCGTTACCAATAACGCCTGCATGCCCTGGGACTTATATGAAAGTAACTGCACACACAGGAGAATTTTGCAAAAACTCAAGCCACTGTCTGCGTAACCAGCCTGCCTCGACCAGCCAGATACTTTGTATCCTTCTCTTCTTCCTCCTCATTCTACTACTACTGCTGCTGTTGCTGCTACTACCGCTATCACTACTACAGCAACAACTACTATTACTGCTACTGCTACAGCTGCTGCTACTACTATTATCACTTTATCAACATCATCATCATCTTCCTATACCTTTAGACTTTACCTTGAAAATGTTCAAAGAAATCAGCAATCAATATGGGCTTGCTTATTTTCTCACACATTTCATTCTTAAAAATTGAGTTTCCTCCAAAATTGTTTGCTCTGCTCTGAATATGCTATTGTGACGTCATCATTTAGAGGACGTGCTCCAGAGCAGATAATATTGTACAGTCGTACCTTGGTATAAGTTCGCTTTGGTATACATTCGAATCTAAATAGTGCTTTTTATAAACGAAAGCTTTTGCTTAGTATAAGATCTTTGTTTGAAATCGACCCTCGTGCTAGAACGTGCATGTCAAAATTAGTAACGACAAGGTGCGCTAAGTTTTTTTTAACCCTTTGGAAAAGAAAAAAAAGCTACGAATTGATTTCACTGTTTTACAGAAAAAGAACATTCCATTAACGCCCAAACAATCCAAAATAACGTTTTCTTGAAGAAGCAGACAATGAGATAGTTTCTGAAATATCCCGAGGAGAAGGCAAAATTAAAGCTTTTTGTAAAGTTTTAGTAAAAGTCAAACCTCACTTAGCTTTAACTGGTTTCCAAATAGCGAAAACCGACAGACAGACACACACACGCGCGCGCGCGCACACACACACACACACACACACACACACACACACACACACAGATACACTAGAAATAATCACTAGAAATAATCACTAGAATTTTAGATCCCTAAAGTTTTATTGGAAGGGAATTTCCTTTTGCACAGTAACATCTCCCCTCCCTTCTGAAGTTTTATTGGAAGGGAGTTTCCTTTTGAACAGTAACATCTCCCCTCCCTTCTCAGTACTATCCTAGTAGATGTTCGACTTTTTTCATCAAGGTAAATTTTCAGTTATCTCATCTAATTGCTCTTGTATTTATTTATTTTTGTATTAGGTAGTTTATACATTATTTTATACAGAAAGGAATGTTTAATATGTCAATTAAAAAAAATAAAAGTTAAATAGTTTTTTTAATGGGAAGGACATTCTCCCATTTTTAATTTTGGGAAAATTCTTTTTGTTTAGTCCTGTTTTGTATATGTCTTATTTAGTATACGTCCTGTTGGGTATGCGTCCAGTTTGGTATACTTTATGTTTGATATACGTCCTGTCTGGTATACGTCTTGTTTGTTATGCGTCCTGTATGGTATGCGTACTGTGTGGTATACGTCCTGTTTTGTATATGTCTTGTTTGGTATATGTCCTTTTTGATATACGTCCTATTTAGTATAGGTCCAAGGATCATAAATTTATTAGGATGTATACCACTATACAGCAAAAAATAACAAATGTTTCTTTTATTTCAATTATAAGTGTGGAGAAAATACGTATTGTCTGCGACCAGAGATGCCGCGATGCTGGGCCACGGGTCAGTGTTTCAGCCTCGGAGACTGTGGTAAGTATATGTATAGAAAATCTACTTTTCAGTGTAACTGTCTGTCTGTCTGTCTGTCTGTCTGTCTGTCTGTCTGTCTGTCTGTCTGTCTGTCTGTCTGTCTGTCTGTCTGTCTGTCTGTCTGTCTGTCTGTCTGTCTGTCTGTCTGTCTGTCTGTCTGTCCGTCCCTCCATCGCCCATCCATTCATTTATTCATCCATCCATCAAATAACCTATCCATCCATCAATCATATCCATCAATGCATTTGTCTGTCTGCCCGTCTGTCTGCCTGCTCGTCTGACTGTCTGTACATCAGTCTATATGTCTGTCCATCTATCTGTTTGTCTGTCTGTCGTTCTGTTTATTTCTCCATATTTCTATTTGTCTATATATCTGTGTATTTATCTTTCTGTCTGCCTAACCAATTTACCTATCCATCTGTCATCATTAAATATTAATCGAATTGGTCTGCGGATCTTTCTTAGTTAGTTAGTTAGTTAGTTAGTTAGTTAGTTAGTTAGTTAGTTAGTTAGTTAGTTAGTTAGTTTAGTTAGTTAGTTAGTTAGTTAGTTTAGTTAGTTAGTTAGTTTAGTAAGTTTAGTTAGTTAGTTAGTTAATTAGTTTAGTTAATTAGTTTAGTTAGTTAGTTTAGTTAGTTAGTTTAGTTAGTTAGTTTAGTTTAGTTAGTTAGTTAGTTAGTTACTTAGTTAGTTAGTTAGTTAGTTAGTTAGTTAGTTAGTTAGTTAGTTTAGTTAGTTAGTTTAGTTAGTTAGTTTAGTTAGTTAGTTTAGTTAGTTAGTTTGTTTAGTTAGTTAGTTTAGTTAGTTAGTTTAGTTAGTTAGTTAGTTAGTTTAGTTAGTTAGTTTAGTTAGTTTAGTTAGTTAGTTTAGTTAGTTAGTTTAGTTAGTTAGTTTAGTTAGTTTAGTTAGTTAGTTTAGTTAGTTAGTTAGTTAGTTAGTTAGTTAGTTAGTTAGTTAGTTAGTTAGTTAGTTGGGTTATTGTGATTGCACTCAGAACATGTCCATAGGTGCTCAGATCCTCCCCTCAGTATGGTGCGGATCTTTCTATTCCTAGCGAGTGTCTCAAATTCTATGAACTACCCATGCACGTAAATGTTGACATCACCATGGTTTTTCTTGGTGTGCCCTTCTCTTTGTCCCTAGATTTCCGTCCTCTCTGACGCTCTCTGTAGAGAGACTTGGCTTTTTTTAGATTAGGACAGTGGTTTTCGACCTGTGGGTCGCGACCCTTTTGGTTGTCAAACGACCCTTTCACAGGGGTCGCTAAAGACCATCAGAAAACACATGTTCGCTGAAATTATGAAGTAGCAATGAAAATAACTGAATAATTGGTGGGTGGGGGGTCGCCAAAATATGAGGAAGGGTCGCGGCATTAGAAAGGCTGAGAACCACTGCTTTAAGATGTCTAGTTTTGTTCGGTGATGTTACCAACCAAGGCTGTATTTAGGATGTAGGACGCTCATGTCCAGCCTCTTTTTTTTTTTTAAAGCCTTAATTCCACCTCGGCTAAACGTCAGCATCACTAATCGTTTACAAATAACCAACAATAAGTTGCGAATTTTTTTTATCTCAGATTAAAACCGCACTGAAATAAATTAAACCTAACTGAATACACACCAGATAAAACAAGTGTGCACGTTGAGGTTCTAATAGAGTACGGATACGCAGTGCATGATGAAACTTTCATAATGATAAAATCAATATAGATAATCATATTTTGTTAATGTCTCACGCTTTAAGCATGTTATTTTAGTCACTTGAAACGTCATGAAAGTTTAGAGAGAACAATAATGGAGGGGTATTTGCCTGAGAAAAGAGGAAGAGGAAGGCCAAAGAGAATGTAGGTGCAGGATGTGGCAGATGATTTCCAGATGGGTGTATTGGACGCGGGACATCTTGCTTGTGATCGAGGAGTTTCCCGAAGGTTTGTTATGGGAGCAAGGTTCTGCAAAGGACATGCTACTAATTGACTTAGCCTGTTGCAATCCTAAAAATCTAACCACCCTGTGCAGCTGCACATGTTCTACATAACCTAAACACAGTCCTGTATCTTAGTGTGTGTATGCATATATATATATATATATATATATATATATATAATATATATATATATATATATATATATATATATATATACACATACATATATTGTTGTCTTCGTCTTATTCGTTTGCTATCTAAATTATTAACTGTTTTTCCATAACATGCCCCGAATAACTTGACTGATTATTTCTGACTCTAATTAATTCATGGGTCTCATTTGTTTCGACGAGTAAGGTTACATTTGCTTTCCTGTCCGTAACATTCTGAACATGTTCTTAGGAAACTACATGCCATCTGCTATTACATGATCCCTATCTTGTTTGCCTATTGTCCATACTTCACACGCATACAGGAAGATAGGCTCTACATAAAACGTGTATGCATAGTCTCTGCATATACTGGTTTCTTGTGCTGGTATGGCTGTGTCTTCTCCTTTTTCCTGACGTTCACCAGCTGTAAACTCCAGAGGAAAGTTCTGGTTATTCGTCCACTTATGGACTTCTTGTTTCAGAACTTGAGTTTTGCATGTACATCTATACGTGCATGCATGCTGCTGGTTCCTCACCTCTCAAGTATATGCAGTGCTTTTTCAAAGGAAACACCCCAGTTAGTCGCTTTTACGACATGCTTGTTTGAGGCCGAAGGAGGGGGGGGGGCAGTGGGTCTACTCTGTTTTTCCTTCCACAATGGGGCCAAGAAACCTACACGGAGGGGTATGGTTGCAATCTCTCTAGCCTCCCACAATGGGGCCGAGAAACCTACACGGAGGGGTATGGTTGCAATCTCTCTAGCCTCCCACAATGGGGCCAAGAAACCTACATGGAGGGGTATGGTTGCAATCTCTCTAGCCTCCCACAATGGAGCCAAGAAACCTACACGGAGGGGTATGGTTGCAATCTCTCTAGCCTCCCACAATGGGGCTGAGAAACCTACACGGAGGGGTATGGTTGCAATCTCTCTAGCCTGCCACAATGGGGCCAAGAAACCTACACGGAGGGGTATGGTTGCAATCTCTCTAGTCAACAGAACATTCCAATAAATACAAGGAAATGTCCAGTTATATCTATAGAATCGGATTCCTTTTCTCACCCTAATTATGTTTTACAACTGGCACATCGTCCATAGGTAGGTTCTTTACCGAGTGTAGCTCTTTTCAGGGCAAGAACGAGTCTTGCTATCTCTATCCAGTTCACCAGCCCTTTGTTCTTTCACAGCCAGTACATCTTCATTGTCTTGCATCCACATTCGCTGCGTCGTTTTCCGTAAACGGCACCATCACCATTCTCTTAAGACTACCATAACACTTAACGTGGCCAAAATTCGCTGTCGGGACCAACTACTGTTGCCCTCGATTTTCAGATCATGTAGGCCTCATGCCTTTCAGGCAGATCAGCTCAACTTAGAGGGACACTTCTACTTTAGCCGTTCCACAGGTTCTTAACCTGTTTTTCTAGGATGATCACCGCGAGGTGTACATATGACGTCATCAGTTTAAACAGGTTCACCGATGGCGTCTATGGCTTAGTCATTGCGAACGCGCTTTGTAATGCCGGGGGGGGGGGGGGTTCGATCCCAGATGCAGGCCTTGCGCCTTACGTTAGCTTCGTCAGTGGTATCGAGACGCCGACTGTCCAGAAGCCATGGCAAACTACTGGACGTAAATTTTCCTAGAAAAACCAGAACAGCACAGAATTCTGTGGTTGGTTCTGCAACATCCTGTAAAGGATACGCAACTAACTTTTTCAACTTTAACTGTTCATCAGCGCATGTAGTTCGATACCGGTGCACCCCGCTGCAGATTTGAGCCAAAGATATTTGGTCCAGC